TTTTTTTTGTGTGTGTTTGTATGTATATGTATGTGTATGTGTTTATATATATGAGTGTAATTATGTGTGTGTGTTTATATGCATGTATGCGTGTGTGTATATATATTTGTAGGTATGAGTGCATTTGTGTGTGTATGTTTGTGTATGTATTAGTGTACTGGGTTTCTTTCTACACGCAGATGTTTTCTCTGCATTTTGGATATCTATTTAGATGACATAAATACAGATATTCGATCTCTGGGTCGCGATTGTCTGTTATTGAGATCAACTTTCAGTAGAATTAAACCGCTGAAAGTCTACGGAACCCCCCGCCAGGTTTCACTTACATTTTTAGGACTAACTATTTTTTCACTTGGCTTAGCACTCCGATTTACGTCAAGGCAATTGGCTGGAAAGGGTATTTGATAATTGAGATGATCAATAATGATAATAAAAAGGCCGACCCCACTAGAGATTAAGGGAATGAAGAAGAAAAAAATACTAGTCAAGATAATAACGAGTACGAATAAAGCTTCTGGTGTGACTGGCTTTTTACTTTACATTACCTTCAGTATGAGTGTATAAAGATCTTAGCCTCTTACTGTACGAGTTTATATACGTGTATGTGTATATATACCTAGATCTGTGTGTGCGTATGTGCTCAAGCGTGTCTGTGTGCGCCTGCGTGAATGTACGGTCGGACGTGTGCGTGTGCATGTAAGTGTATGTGTACGTGTATGTACGTGAGCGAACGGACGTGTTCATGTGGGTTTTTATAGAAATTACTTTGCACATTTGTTACAAAGATAATCATCAGCTCTCGCTTAGAAATAATTTTGTTTGTGGCAATTGTTGCACAGGTTGTTTGAGCCGTAACTGCTGGATCTTATATTCTTTGCAATGGTAGTTTTCACTGTTATAGCACTCCTATCTATTGAAAATAAACTAAAAAGAAAATAAGGTAACATCTGCACATGGTTCTCGAGACTGTTTTTTCGTTTCATTGTTTTTGATTACTCTCTGGCTGTAATTGCTCCTGCATGGATGTTGGATTGGAAATATAATAACAGCTGCATAAAATAACCCCACATTTTTCTTTTATTGGATATCTACCCTACCGACGAGACTAATCTTTGGCGCCTTTTACCACAGAATTAAATGGATAAAAGAGTTCGGAATCACGGAACAATTGATCCGAAACAAGTTCTCCAACGGGACTAACTGCGTCAAACCACCGACTTCGAACACTGGTTCACAGGGACTGCGAGCGCTCGACATCGTGGATTTCTTTGGTGTCTTCGTCATCTATATTTCCGGTGAGTCTGTATCTGATTTAGAGATGTGTATAGCGAATGTGTGTGTGTTCGTATAGACCGGAACGTAGATATTCAAAATCCGTTTATCATTCATTGTTGTTTGTGGTCCCGGTTGTTGGGTACTTTATCAGTACGTTGCTTATTCATGATCATTTTTTTACTCTTTATTGTTCCTTATTTCTCTCTCTTCTTATTGTTCCAGTTTTTAAGTCATCCACGTTTACCAGCTGTGTATGGTTTGAAATACGAATCAATTTTGCTTCGCTTCTCCTCCAGGCATTCTTCTTTCTGGAGGCGTCTTCGTCGCTGAAATTATCGTGAAGAAAATGGACTCCCGGGATCACCGTGGCACTGGCACCTCTTCCCGCGAACTCAGAGGCAAGCCGAAGCGAGACGACACGCTGGCAGAGTCTGCAAGGGAGTGACCGCCTCCCTCGACGCCAGCATCGGCCGCCTGAGTTCAGGACGGCTCGTCAGGAGGGCCGGCGCGAAGACGTGTGGATCATGACCTGCATTTATGGGCGTTTCGCTTTGACAACTGCATATGAATATAATAAGTAGGAATATATAAACCAATGCACTGTCCACTGAACGTAAAGGGAAGAAGCAACATATCCAACATATGCCCATAATTCACGAGGGATGTCGGACTTTTCGGCGAATATTATTCTCATCGACGCCGACGGATTATTGGCCGATCGATCATTTTCCCGACAAGTATTCGGCCGAACGGCGAAAAATTCACAAATGGAACATGGAGTCGTTCACAGTTACCATTTTCATTTCATGTTAAAGGTATAAAGAGATTTATTCAGAAGCATAATTGAAGCAATCATTAATTCGAATACATAATGAAGGCAAACATTTATTCTAAAACATAATAATGGCTAGTATTTATTAAAAAAAAAAAATTTCGCCTGTGTAAAAGTCCGTCCATTGACATTTTGCCATTATGTTTATTCTGTTATATGCTCTGTTAGATTGAGCTCTTGGTATGTTTACGCCAAAATGTATATCAGTTCTCTTAATATAGTGATTACTTTCCAACAGGTGAAAAAGTAGACTATGTTTTGTATTTGACAAAAAAATCCGCGATCTCCGCCAGGGATTTCGTCATAATGTTATAGACTGTTAGTCTTGCTATGTTTTCGGTTATCAGTCTATCAGTTGTGTCAATATACTGATTAGTTTTCGACAGGTGCTAC